CATTATATTGATTAATTTACTCAAGTGACAAAATAAGGAAACCAGCGGAGAGTAAATGGAAACACGAGGAAAGGGAAAACAGACAAACATTTGGATTCACATGTCCCCAATCCCATGAAAATGTGGTATAGGGGATAACCAGGCTGCAGTGGGTGAGGACTGTCTCAGCAGGACAGTATTCCTGCCCTTAGAAGTCCCTGTCCTTGGGCACAGTGACTAAGCTTATCTGTCCCCTGTGTGCGCCAGGCTCTCTGTATCTAATAAAGAGGGTTCCACCAGTTTGTTTGCTAAAAACATAAAAAATAAAAAGAAATAATGGGCTAATGTTCTTCATAGCTGAAGATGAACAACAACTTTAGACAGTGATCTCATAGGTCAGGAATTCTGTCTTTATCATCCACACTGCCCTGGTGCATGATGGCAGGTTGGGTTTCATACTGGGCAAACAGTGAATACCTATTTCCACCATGAAATACAGTTGGCATATTAGCTATTTGCAAACTTACATTTTTGTCAGATGCAGATAGATTCTTCTAAAATTGACTTGTTTCTTTGCGCAATATATTTACTCTTAAATAAAATAATAGCAGAGCTTAAATACCTCTTTAACACTTTAATAGCAAACAGTAGGTGATCCCTTTCTTTTTTCTCTCAATAGAAATCTGCAAGGCATGAGACTTTGTCCACTGAACCTCTGCAGAGATACACCACATGACTGAAAAGGTGCACTTGCTGAGTCTTGGGCCTTGTCTCTCTGTGACTCATTTTGATGCAGTGACAAGCAGTATAAACTATCAATTTGCATTGCTTCTCATCCTTCCATTCACTCTCACTGCCTTGGGATTAAACCTTAAAAATAAAGCATGTCGTGAATTCTTTTAACAATTTTGGGTTAGGGAACATGTCTAGGAACTTAGGTATGCACACACAACATATACTTATATGCATATAAAGTTTTCTAAAACTGTATTTGTCATCAATATATTTGACATAATCTCTATTCCAGTCAATTTTCTTATTTAAAAGGTTAGTTTGAGCCACTCAGTTGCTTTTACATCCTCGAAACAGTCATGTTCAATTTATATAAATAATCAGTTACATACTGAATGTGTCAACAGGGTTGTATATCTTTCATGCCACTCACATTTCTGACCCCAACTGATTAGGAAAAGGGGCCTATTCCCATCTCTTAACATGGGTAAAAGAAGACACTTCTGGACCAAAAGCATAGTTCTAACTATTTAGGAGTGTGAATTCTAGTCACAATGTCATAACCTCTGTTGGGAAACGTATCAAAACCTGTGATCACCTCCTCATCAACAAACTTTGCAAGATCCAAGTTGGAATGCCTTCCTATCCTGGGCTTACTTTACGTCGTTTACTTCTGCATCCAAGAGGTCGAAATTTTATATGAACCAAGGACTTTGCTTTTCTTCATTTCATAAAAAGAATTGTCAAAGGTCTGGGGATATAGCTCAGTTTGTAGAGTGTTTGCCTTGCACGCACAAGGCCCTGGATTCAATCCCCAGTATCACCAAGAAAATAAACAAACAAAAAAAGAATTGTCAAATAATGCCTCTATTTTTCTTATAGTGTTCCTTTCTCCTTCTCTTCTAAGAGGTTCTAAACTAGAGCCAAAATGATGCAGAGCTCATTTAACATGTTTTACAAATCTGAGAGTGGTCACTTCTTGCTGCTTAGGCTTTGTCAAAAAAAATTCCACACAATCAGGAAAGAAGTGTAATCAGAAAGCTTCTTAACTTTTCTTTTCTTTTTTCTTTGGTACTGGGGATTAAACTCAAGGGCACTCAACCACTGAGCCACATCCCCAGTGCCTTTTTGTATTTTCTTTAGAGACAGAGTCTCACTGAGTTCCTTAGTCCCTCCAGGTTGCTGAAGCTAGCTTTGAACCCATGAGCCTCTTGCCTCAGAGACCTGAGCCACTGGGATTATAGGCATACACCACTGTCCTCAGCTAGCTTCTTAACATTTTTTTCCCTTTCTTTTAGCTGTTACCAAGTCAGGAATAGTGAACTAAGTATGACTACTAAACACAATCTTCTTTCATCATTAAAAATCTTAATGACCTTATTTTTTCTATTATAAAAACATTAAAAAAATTAGCAGTTTATTGAAATGATAGCCTCAATGTTCTACAAAGTAGGAGGAAATATAAAGCAATTAATTTAATTTTTTAATTTAACCTAAATAAAAAACAATTAATTTAATTTCCTTTTAATATGTCCTTCTAGGTCTCTATTCTCTATCCCTGATGTTATCTATAGCCTATCTCATAACTTTTACAATTACATTTGTGTAGTTCAACAACCTCATTTTAAAGCCTACACAGTGCTGTCTGATTCATAATCAACAAATATATCATCCAAGTTTTGGCTTTTTTTTTTTTTAACCATTCCAAAGTCTAGTTCTGACCCAGACTGAAAAATCGCAACAAAAAAGGAAACGGGGTCCGAAAACCTGGGAATCCCTCAAAAGTTTTGCCCCTTCCCCCAAAAATCCGCCTTTTTTTTTTTTCATTCAGAGAAGGGTTATTTCCTGATTATGATGTTGGAATTCTCTCAGCAAGTGATATATTTCCAAATTCTAGCCCTTTGCTTGCTTTTCAGGATTTCTAATAACAATACTCAAGATTCCTCACAATAACCAGTTCTCAAATACTGGTCATGCTCTCTCCTGCCAACTTCACTGGTTTAGTGGTACTTCCCTTAATACCAGTCCTTTTGGGGTAGAGTGTTCTGAAAATGAAAATATATAAATCTATACATAGACTATATGTACAATTGCATATTATTTATGATTTACTATGTATATTATGTTTTACTTATTCTTATTATATGTGATTTAATCCCTTATATGCCAGTATTCAAAATTAAGCGTTGGTTTCTTAGGATACTTCAAAGTTGACCAAAGTTTAACTATGGCCTTGCTGATGAAAACAGATTGGACATATTTCAATTTCCTGCAGTTCTTATACATGTAGATTCTCAAATTGTCCCATTTTAGTCTAGTGGTACCATCTCAAGTTGTTTTCTGAGTTGTTCGGTCATATCTGTAACATTCTTCAACAATTTCCTTATTTTCTAACCTTACAATGCAGATTTTATATTTATTGCATTAGACTAAGAAGTTCAATTTATTGCCCCAGAGTCATATATGCAGTGGTATTCTAAGATCACAGATTGGGTGGTGACAGGAGTGTTCATTGTTCCTGGATTAGTCATTGCTGTTAGGTTTTTTCACCATACACAGAAAGATAAAATCTCATGTATTCATACTTCCTATTTTTACTTTAATTATTATTTTTTTGTTTTACATTTAAATCTTTTTTTTTTTTTTTGGTACTGGTAATCAAACCCAGGGACACTTAATCACTGAGCCACATCCCCAGATCTTTTAATTTTTTTTCTTTAAAATTTTGAGACAGGGTTTTGCTAAGTTGCTTGGGGCCTCAGTAAGGCGCTGAGGTTGGTCTTGAACTTGTAATTCTCTTTTCTTAGCCTATGGAGTCTGGGATTACAGATGTGCACCAGCATTTCAACTTACATTTGGATCTCTTGTCTGTTGTTCTGAATGTCTTGTTACTTAATAACATTAAACTAATTGCTTTTTTTGGGCTTTATCCTAATGTGTATAATACATTCACAGTAAAGCAATATCATTGTTATTATTATAAATATTGCTACTGATAAAAGTGTAAGTTTTATTTTATCATTGTCTCTGTTCTTGGAATATATTCTACTAGAAATTTACTTTCATATTAGTATGTATATTTTTTGGTGCTGGGGATTGAACCCAGGCCCTTGTATGTGCAAGGGAAGCACTCTACCAACTGAGCTATATCCCCAGGCCTCATATGAAAATATTTTATAATCTTAAAATAACTTATATTTGGGTCTGGGGATGTGGCTCAAGCAGTAGCGCGCTCGCCTGGCATGCGTGCGGCCCGGATTCGATCCTCAGCACCACATACCACAAAGATGTTGTGTCCGCTGAGAACTAAAAAATAAATATTAAAAAAAATAACTTATATTTGGTTATGCCAACCACCTTAATTTTTTTCATATTATTTTCTATTTCATAAATATTGTTTTTAAAGGTTAATTATTCAGCTGTTTAGGTATATAAAACTTTAGCATGGTTCCAAGATATAGTAAGCTAAAGTGAAATGTAGCTTTTACTACTGTCCCTCTACTCAGTATGATCCTTTCCCTTAAAGGTTATTAAATTTGATTTCTGAGGATTTGTTATTCTTTAAGGTATGTTGAAGGCATATTCATATTTTGAACTTTCTTGGATTGGCAGTGACATTCCATATACATATTTCTATATCTTGATTTTTGTACTTAACAGTCTGTTCTGAAGATGACATCTTAGCAATATAGAAGATATTCCTCACTCCCTGGTATGGTTGTCAAGGCTTCTATTTTATGGATGTACAATTCCCTACTAGAATATTTGAATAGTTTACGGTATTTCCTATTTCAAATAGTGCCATATTTAATAACTTCAAGCAAATACCCTTTTCAACTTTATCTAACTTTTATGACAGGTTGTTCAAAGTAGGACCACTGAGTCAATGTGTAAATATATATGTTAAATATATATAAACATATGTAATATATGTGTAATTCCCCAGCTTAATTATAGACCATGTGATTTTTTGTATCTTTTTTTATTGATACCAGAAGAGTAAAACAAAATTAAATTTTCACTCAAAATTAAACTTTGTAAGTTTTCCAAATCTAATATGTGAGAAATTATATCTAGGTGTAGATTCTGTTTCTAATTAACATTTCTCTTATCAGATGAGAGACGGAACATCTTTTCATATGTTTAGGGAATTTAAAGAAAACATTTATTTTTTAGTTGTAGTTGGACATAATGTCTTTATTTTATTTATTTATTTTTATGTGTTGCTGAGGATCGAACCCAGGGCCTAGCCGTGCTAGGCAAGTGCTCTACTGCTGAGCCACAAACCCAGCCCTGTTTAAGGAATTTTGTATTTCTTTTTATTTCTACTTATTTTTTTTTATTTCTATCCTCTTTTCTCTTATTCCATTTCAACTTCAGGCACACAATGATCTTTGTTAACAACCAAGGAGTAGTTAGGCCTCCAGCATGCACACCCTTGGACCAAGTTCCTATCTTGTGCACTTACCCTTGTAATAAAGTACTTTAGATGAAAGTTTTGTATAGCTAATGTTTCTCAGTCATTCCCATTACACAATACCCAACTCACTCTTTTTGTAAAAAATATTTTTTTAAATTGTGGATGGACATAATGCCTTTATTTATTTATTTTTATGTGGTGCTGAGGATCGAACCTGGTGCCTCCCATGTGCCAGGCAAGGGCTCTGACACTGAGCCACAACCCTAGCCCCCAACTTACTCTTTTTATGTATTCACCAAATAAAATGGTAATCCTAAAAGAAACAAGAAAGATATGAGTCAACATTAATTGGCTGATAAATGATCAGAATGATACCTTTTTAGCCAAATATTGGGAACTCTAAAAAACATGCTATGTAAAAAAATTGTTCAAAAAATTTTTTGGAAGATATGCTATGTGTCCAGAAACTTCACTGTGCCCAATAATTTCAATGAGCCTTTCCTGGGTACAAATAACCAGCACACAGAGATATTCTCTTTTCTTAGCACACAATTCCAGATTCCTGTACTTTATTTTGCCAAGAAGGATCATATCCAAGAATATTGCAGCCTGGCCATGATGCTTCAAGAGATCCTTAAGCCATCTCTTCAGTCTGCAGTGCCATGAAAACACTGAGGTAAAGTCAGGGGCTCTCTGCTTCACTTACCCCATTTTTAAAGCTCTGCTCAGAGATCTCTGAGTCTGTGAAAAGAACTTCCCTTTTAAGGAGAACTTTAGCATCACTGACCACAGTGTCAAGGAAATAAGTTTGTAAATAGAAGACCTTTCTAAAGTAAAGACCAGTGGCAAGGAATCCTCCAGTGACTGAGCAAACTTTCTCAATATATGTCAGTATTTTTTCCCCTAAGGATTCATCCCTGTCAACTGAGAGCAAATGGGGAGATTTAATGTTTGCCTTGAGTTCCTGCATGGATACTTGGAAATCCTTAGCCATATTTTCCAGTGATGCATCATCCAGCCCAAAGTAAGATCTGTAGAGGGTTAAGGTCTCCTTTAACTTCTCTATATCATTATCATTGATTAATCCCATCATAGGAATGGTAGCTGATGCTCCAGCCTTTAGGGCCTCCAGCCAGACCATCTGCTTCAGGGAATCTCTCTTCCGATCAATGGCAGCCTCAGTAACACTTGGCAGGCATTGCATGAAGATGTAGCGCTTGTGAGCGGGCAGCTCCTTCAGAAGAGTGGTCTCCAGGTTAGGGAAGTCATAGTCAGACACGTGAACGCTAGAGACTAAGAAGACTTGAGCACCATTTATATTGTTATCTTTCAGGTGTTTGAGACAGTCATCTCGAATCTTTTGCAGGAGCTTGTCCCTATTGAAGGATTTAGGTGTGCATATTTTCTGATTGTATATATCACTATCGATTTTTGTTCGAACGAAGTAAAACTGCTTGTTCATTTTTGCAATGGCTTTGGCCAGGTGTGCATCATTTTCTTTGAAGCGTGTAGAAGAGATGATAATGAAAAAATCATACTCACCAAACATCATTTTCTTCAGGTACTTTCGTGGTTGGAAGTTAGTGGTCCCAATCCCAGGAAGGTCCCATATTATCACGTTAGGAAGCTTTGGGTGTTGATATCGAGTTCTCTCCATGGTTGTCTCCACCACCCCAGTGGCAGCTGCATCTTTTTCTTCATGCCCCACCCCCCCGCAAGGCATTGATGAATGTGGACTTCCCTGCTCCACTCTCCCCTGTCACTGCAATGTTCAGTGGGGCATTCTGGATGTTTTTCAATGCATCGTTAATTGCAGAAACAGTTTTCTGAATATTCCCCTCATCCAGGTGTGACTGAATTGAAGCAATGGTTTCTGGAGAGAGGATTTTGCTTTCCATCTTGAAAGTCTTAAAAAACTTGTCACAGCTGAAGGTAAAATCTTGAGCCTCTTTATTAGGGGTTGTGGAGGAGGATGCCTGACCCATGGCTGTGAGAAGTAGAGGGCACTAGTGGGAGGACAGAAGTGAGAAGTTCAAAGAGTTAGCACAGTAGGGAAGATCTTGATTTTGCTGTTAAGGTAAAACAGAACTTCAGCCCTAGTCCCACATTATGACTGGGGAAACGATCTCTTTCTATTCATGTATGTTGCCAGGATTTCTGGCCTACATGTTAAGTTTGCTCTTAGCAAGCCTCTTTCCTTATCTTGTCCTGCTCATTTTGATGAAGAGATTCTTCATTATTTTCAAGGTCTTATTTTTCTATAGAAACTTTCCTGCCAAGGCTATTCATTTTTAATGTTTTTTAGTTATTGATAGACCTTTATTTATTTATACGCAGTGCTGAGAATTGAACCCAGTGCCTCACACATGTCAGGCAAAAGTGTGCTAATGCTGAGCCATAGCCCAGCCCCAGGCTATTCTTTATTGATCTTATTTTAGCTATTTTTTAAATAAAAATAATATTTGCACATATAAGCAGTGAAACAAGGTAAAGATGAAACTACCAACCTGTGCTTCCCCCTATAGGGTGGCTATAACTGACTTCAAGACTTATAATGTAAACCAATGGAACAGAATAAAGAGTCCATAAACATCTCTCTCTTTATTTATGTATATATGTATATATTTATGTATGTATGTATATATATATATATATATATATACACACACACACACATCTCAATAACAGTTTAGAGTGTTCATATATATCAATCGATATTTTACAAAGGAATAAAGGCAACTCAATGGAACACAGATAATATTTTCAACAAAACAGTTGGAAAAAGTGGACAAGCATGACAGTGAATTTATTTATTTATTTAATTTTTTGATATTATTTATTTATTTATTTATTTATTTTTATTGTTGGTTGTTCAAAAAACATTACATAGTTCTTGACATATCATATTTCACACTTTGATTCAAGTGGGTTGTGAACTCCCATTTTTACCCATATACAGATTGCAGAATCACATCAGTTACACTTCCATTGATTTACATATTGCCATACTAGTGTCTGTTGTATTCTGCTGCCTTTCCTATCCTCTACTATCCCCCCTCCCCTCCCCTCCCCTCTTCTCTCTCTACCCCCTCTACTGTAATTCATTTCTCCCCCTTTTATTATTTTTCCCTTTCCCCTCACTTCCTCTTGTATGTAATTTTGTATAACCCTGAGGGTCTCCTTCCATTTCCATGCAATTTCCCTTCTCTCTCACTTTCCCTCCCACCTCTCATCTCTGTTTAATATTAATCTTCTTCTCATGCTCTTCGTCCCTACTCTGTTCTTAGTTACTCTCCTTATATCAAAGAAGACATTTGGCATTTGTTTTTTAGGGATTGGCTGGCTTCACTTAGCATAATCTGCTCTAATGCCATCCATTTCCCTCCAAATTCTATGATTTTGTCATTTTTTAATGCAGAGTAATACTCCATTGTGTATAAATGCCACAACTTTTTTTATCCATTCATCTATTGAAGGGCATCTAGGTTGATTCCACAGTCTTGTGAATTGTGAATTGTGCTGCTATGAACATCGATGTAGCAGTGTCCCTGTAGCATGCTCTTTTTAGGTCTTTAGGGAATAGACCGAGAAGGGGAATAGCTGGGTCAAATGGTGGTTCCATTCCCAGCTTTCCAAGAAATCTCCATACTGCTTTCCAAATTGGTTGCACCAATTTGCAGTCCTACCAACAATGAACAAGTGTATCCTTTTCCCCACATCCTCGCCAGCAATTGTTGTTGTTTGACTTCCTAATGGCTGCCAATCTTACTGGAGTGAGATGGTATCTTAGGGTGGTTTTGATTTGCATTTCTCTGACTGCTAGCGATGTTGAGCATTTTTTCATGTACTTGTTGATTGATTGTAATGACAGTGAATTTAGACACAGAATTTATGCCCTCCACAAAAATTTACTCAAAATATAGCATGCAAAACCATAAAAACCTTGAAAGATGGCATAGGAGAAAACCTAGATCACCTTGGTATGGCAATGACTTTTTAGAATCAACACAACAAAATAATCCATATTAGAAATAATTGATAATCTGGGATTCATTAAAGTTATAACTTCTCTATGAAAGGTGATATTAGGAGAATGAAATTTTCTCCCCACACTGGGAGAAAAGTACTTACAAAAAACACACCTGGTAGAGGACTATTTTCTAAACTACACGAAGAACCCTTAAAATTAACAATAAGAAAACAGATAACACCATTAAACAATGAGTCAAAGACCTTAACAAAAACCTCATCAAAGAAAGTCTATGGATAACAAAAAATCAAATAAAAAATAGACTCCACATCATACATTATCAGAGAAAAACAAATTAAAACATTAATTTTGTACCACTACATACTAGAATGACCAAATCTGAAACACTGACACTATTAAATGATGGCAAAAGTGTGGACCATCAAGAACTCTCCTTTACTACAGGTAGGAATGCAAAATGTACATCTGTTTTGGAAGACGGCTTGGTATACTCAACATACATGTTCCTTGATATTTACCCAAAGGAACTGAAAATATTTGTTCAAACAAAAACCTGTACATGGATGTTTCTAGAAGCTTTATTCATGACTGTCAAAACTTGGAAACAACCAGGATGAGTTTCAGTAGGTGAGTGGATTAATAAACTATGGAATATTTAAAAAAATGGAATACTATTCAGTACTAAAAAGAAATGAGCTATTAAGCAATTAAAAGATGTTGAGAAGCTTAAATCTTAAATGTGTAATACTGAGCAAAAGAAGACACTCTAAAAAAGGCTACATATTGTTTGATTTCAATCTATAGATGAAAGGTCAAATTTGGAAAAAGTCAAAAGAGCAGTGGTTGCCAGGAGCTTCAGTGGGTATGAAAAGGCACAAAGGATTTTTAGGGCACTAAAAATATTTGGAATGATACTATAAAAGTGAATATATGCCATTATACATCTGTCCAAATCTTTGGCATGTAGAATAGTAGGAACCAAGAGCAACCTTAGTTGCATTGTGGTTTGGATCTGGAATGTTCCCTAAAGGCATATTTGTTGATGGTTTTGTCCTCAATGCAGCAATGTTCAGAGGTGGAGCTTTTGAGAGGTGATGGAATGATGAGGGCTCTGACCTCATCATGGATTAGTTCATTTATGGATTCATAGCTAATGTGCTATTGGATGATGGTAGAAAATTTAAGAGGTGGGCCTAGCTGGAAAAAGTAGGTCATTGGGAGACATGAACTTGAAGGGTGTATTTTGTACCTGCCCCCTTCCTCTCTCTCTCTCTGCTTCCTGGAAGCCATTAAGTGAGCAGCTTTGCTCTTCCAAGTCTCCCCTTCCATAACATTATTCCTCCCCAGAGGTCCAGAAATTACAGATCTAAATTTCCATGAGATGAAACCTCTGAAACCATGAGACAAAATATTTTTTGTATTTTAAGTTGATTTTCTCAGATGTTTTACCACAGTAATAGAAAGTTGACTAACACAGGGTGATTATAATGTGTCAATGAACAAATGTGTCAGTTGTAACAAACATATCAACTTGGTGTGTATGTGAGTGTGTGGGGGGGTTATAATGGGGCATGCTATGCATATGAAGGATCAGTGAGTATTTGGGAACTGTTTGTATTTTAATTTTTCTGTAAACTAAAACTTGTCTAAAAAGGAAGTTAAAAATTAAGAAGAAAATATGCAAACATGCTAGACTATACGCTTATGATTTTCTAAGACTCTACCCCCTCACCTACCTCTAGCTGTTGTGTAAAACAGGCCCACGATGAGGGAGGAAGATCAGATACCTGGGGACTGACTAGTGTAGAAAGTGTCATCAGTAGAAGAGATGGTGTGATCAAAGACTATAGGAGGGGCTGAAGTGGGTCTTGTACAAAGTCAGCCATGCCATGGAGGTGCCTCTGTCACCCTTCCTAATATCAATGGAATTAACCTGGTTCTGGAGTCCTAGATATTTTTGATTAAAGAACATGTATACCTTGAGACAAGGCACCAGATGAAATCACACATCCAGAGCTTAATAGGATGAATAATGTGCAAGACCAATATATTGAATGCAATAGAGAGAAAGGGCAGAATTTTTAGACTACAAACCAAGGCACCTCAACTCAGGGTGGGATGTCTGAGAGGAAGGCAGGTCAAATAGATGCCATCTGGTTGCAAGTGAGAGTTTAGGCACATCCTTTAGGAGCTCGCTGGAAGTCATTTAATACAGTCCAGGAGGAGAGAAAATGGCAATAATAATCCTGGAAGAAACTTTTCTGAGCAGATATTCAAGATCTGGATTGGTGTACATATAATTAGAGATGGCAAGCATTCTGCATGGAAGAATGGAGATGTCTGACTTGTCATTGGGTGAGTGGAAAGGTATCAGCCACTTATGGGCATGGTGTTAGTACTTTGACTGCTTGGCATAATTTTTTTTCACATACATGAGAGGGTAAATCTTGAGGATCTAGTAGTGTATGAGTGCCAACCCATTGCTGTGTAGAAAGCAGCCCATCCTGCACCCTCCTCTGGAATATATAAGGTCTGGCAAAATACAGAATGAGTAAAGTGAGTTTTGAAGTGGAAAACACAGCCAGAGACTTGAAGAGGATCCAACAGAGTGAAACATGAGTTCTCAACAGATGTTGATTTGGACTAGTGCATTTATAGAGGATGCCAGAGCAAATAATACAGGATGTCATACATATTCATGGAGATAGGTCCTGAGTAATTGAGCAGATAGAGACTGGGACCCCAGTGACAGAGGCTGAAGGGTATGCAGATGTAGACATCAAACTTCTGTGTCCTGAGAAACTTTCAACACACAAAAGCCATGTGCTCTTGTTTGTTTTCTGCTGCAGTAGTTGGGTGGTAGTAGCTGGGGCAGAGCACTATATAGAATTGTTATGACCTTGTCTTCCAGCTATTCAGAGTGTGTTTACTGAGTGTAAGCAGGGAAGAAATAAGAGGGAATATGGAAATATACATTAAATAAACCTAACATGTGCATCTGTACATACATTCCTCACTTCATCCTAACAGCCCTATAAGGACCTTATAATAATTTTCATCTTCAAGTTATGGAAAAAAGAAACAGAGGATGAGAGACCAGTAGAGTCCTGCCTGCCATTAGCAAAGCTCAGAACTGGGATTCAGAGTGAAACTCCTCCTTCCAAGCGCAGAGCTCTTGCATAGAGGCAAAGATCAAGACCACAATTTGGTAAGGAGAGGTACAGTCAGGGATGAAATGAAGACCTAAGAGCTTCTGTGTTTCTATGTTTACATGATATGCCCATTCTTCAGAGTGAGAAGTATTTGGATATTAGATGAAGAATGTCAGATTTCAGATGTTGTCAGTGAAAATCAATATCTATTGGCATCCTGACTTTACATGGTCCTTCTACAGTGCAGAGGAATGAAGCTTGCTTGTGACTGGCCTCTGAAAATGTCTCACATATTTAAATTCTCTGAATGGCTTATAGCTGTTCATCAACCATCCGCCTTTTAGCCTTTAAGTCCATGGCACTCATATGGAGCAACAAGGCGGTCCCACTCTCAGAAACACAGATTTACAATTCTATTTTTAAGCTGTATTAATTCCAAAATATTTTCTACTCACCAGTTTCTTGGAGAAAAGGTGTCACAGTTGAGCTCCTTGTGCTCTACCGAAAGATCAGAAAAAGCTGGGTTTGAAGAAGGGCATCCCTGAAGCCCAACACAGAAAATAACTTTTGTGTAGACCTGTTATCCCCTGGCAGTCCTGGTCCTGTGTGCTTCTGTGGCTACCACAGATAAAAATGGGCTGGACTTAACCTTGGGCTGTATGGAAGGAGCTGTGAGGCTTAAATTATCTTTGGGGTTTGTCCTGCCCTCCCAGGAATTGGACCAATAGCACAGAAGGAAGAAGTCCACAATGGGAGAGCAGAATTTCCAGGAACAGAAAAGTGAAACCAAATTTCTGTAATCTTCTTTTCCCAGCAGTAAACCCTTTGCCGGGCATTGAAAGTGAAAGATGGGTGGCCAGGGATTTTGCAAGCTTTTTGGAATGATAGCTGAGGGAAAGGCACAGGATAACCCAGGCACTGGGTCTTCACAGTGACTGAGGAGGGATCACTCCAACCAACCCCTGGCTTCAGAGATCATCCAAATCTGGACTTATAAAACATAATCCAGAGTCCTGGGCAAATGTTACTTATGTCCTGCCTATGAACTCCACAACCAGCCTCTATGTAGTAAATAATAGGTCTGCTCTATGTCCTTGGTCCCTAGTGCAGAGTTTTAAAATCCCTAGGAATTTTCAGTGACCAGAGGATCTTTGTTAATCTATTGTGGGTTCCTTGGGATTCTACATAGAAAGAAAAAATTAACCAAGGAGCTCAGGTTCAATAATTCACTAGAATAACTCAGAAATCAGAAAAGTGTTATACTTACAGTTCCAGTTATATTATAAAGGGCACACATAGGGCAAAGTATGGAAGGAAGCACAGAGCTTCCATCCTTTCCCCAGGGAATCAGAGCACAGAACCTTGTGAACACATTGCCTGGAAAGCTCCAGAGGCTGCATTGGTTAAATTGATTAAATCATTGACAATTTGATTGGTCACAATCACAAAGCTGATTCCTTTACCTCCCTGGCGATTGTCACTCCCTAAATATAACCCTCTAATGATTTGGTTGATTTTTCCAGTGACCAGTCTTCATCTTGAAACATGTAGGGACATACAAAAAAGTTTTATATTGTTTGAATACAGACTATGATAATTTACGTGATATGTGCATATTTTAAACTTTAAAATAGAAATTAGAGCCAGCGGTGGTAGCACACACCTGTAAACCCAGTGGCTTGAGAAGTGGAGTCAGGAGGATTGCAAGTTCAAAGCCAGCCTCAGCAAAAGCAAGACGCTAAGCAACTCAGTGAGATCCTGTTTAATAAAATACAAAATAGGGTTAAGGATGTGGCTCAGAGTTCAATCCCTGGTTATCCCCCACCCCCCAAAAAAGTAGAAATTAAAAGCTAGAATATGAGTTATTAAGCCAATAGAAAGCAAAAATGGAGTAAAATTATAATTATTTAATTTTAAAAATGACAGGAGACAAGGATAAAGGAATAAAAAGCAAATGGAAAAACAAACAAGGAGAAGGTAAATACAAATTTCAGATATAAGTACTTGCATTAAATGTCAATAAAGTGACTATGCCAATTAAAAGTAGAAAGAAATTGTCAAAATGCTTGGGAATTCAAGAACGTACTACACTGCTTATTTCCATGCATCTTGTACAAATATAGATAAGTTTAAAAATAAAATGATGGAAAATACATATGAGCCAATGTTTAATCATAAAGTCTTGAAAAATATGTTTCAGAATAGAATATTACTTGGAATAAAGAGGGGCATTTAAAGGTTAGGGATGTAGTTCAGTGACAGAGTATGCACTTAGCATGTACAGGCCTGTGGTTCTATCTTAGCAACAGTATCAGCAGTGGTGGAAGCAGCAGCAGTAGCAGCAGCAGCAGCAGCAGCAGCAGCATCACCAACAACAAAGAGGGACATTTGATTATAATAAAAGGAGCAGTTGAGAAACTGTTATCCTTTCATTTGGTCATAATTAAAATATCAGTTGAGCATAGACATGCAACAATAATAGAATTTCAAAATACTTGAAGCAAAAGTGTCATAAGTATAAGGAAAAATTACACAAATCCTCAAATGCATTCCTCTGTCATTAATTGGTTATATAAGTAAACAAAAATTCAGTAAGGCTGTAAAAGACTTGAAGGCAGATAAACTAATTTGACCAAATTGGCATATATAAAAATATTAAGAAACTACAGAGTACAATTTATTTTTAATTACAGGAGAAACTTTTATTCCAATAGATAATATGCTGGTGTACAAAACAAGTCTCATAATTTTGAAAGGATCCAAATTGGGGACCCTTAAATGTGCATGGTGCTTTTTTTCTCACAAATTTTAAAATTCTTTCTTTGTTTTGTGTTTTGGCAGTTTGGCTATATAATAGAAAATTATAAATATATTTTCTTGTCATGTCTATTTGAGGTCAGATAAGCCTCCTTTACATGGATGTCTGTATATTTTCCAGAATTAGGAAAGTTTTCTACTATTTTATCATTAAATAGATTTTATATGACCTTAACTCTTTTCTTCTCATCTTCAGATATTCTAAGAAATATAGATTTGTTCATTTTTTAATGGTGATCAAGATATCTTGAATGCTTTCTTCATTCTTTTTTTTCTTTTCTTTTTCTTTTTTGTTTCACTGGAACATTTTTCAAAATGTTGTAATTCACTAAAAATTGTCTTAAATTCAGAGATTCTTCTGCTTTATCTATTATTTTATGGAGGCTTTCAACTGAAGTTCTTATTTGACTTATTGAGCTCTTCATTTCCAAGATTTCTCTTTTTCAAGATTTTTATGTCTTTGCTAAATTTCTCCTTCATATCCTCTAGTCTATCTAATTTCATTTAACTATTTCCTTGTATCCCCTTGGATCTCACTGAGCTATTATAATCATTCTTTTAAATTCTGGGTGCTCACTCTGTGGCTACTCCTGAAGTAGGTATGGTATCCTCTACTTGGTGGTGAGGTATTCCTCAGGCCCTATTGATGCTACTAATATGGGACTCTGACATGGGTGGTGCCAGCAATATAGAAGGGCATAAATAACTGCTGTTGGCCCAGAAGCTGCATGGGGAGAGGTGATGATGAGAATTTCAGCACCAAGTCTGTGGTCCCAATACCCAATACTGACATCAGTGTGTGGTTAGAGAAAGTGCAGAGGTGGGGAATCATGGAACTCCTTTTTGCTACTTGGGTAGCAATGCCTGCCTGTGAGCTGAACCTCAGACATAGTCCCCTTTGGTCAAACATACATAAGTGGGGTGATATCTGTCTCCTTGGCGCCTTCAGCTGTAGGAGTGAGAACATGGCTACAGTCAGACAAAATTATTCTTAACTCCTCCAGCTGTACACTGCCAGGGCAGAATGATATCAGGAGCACCAGAGTTTCTCAAGGCTCCTGTACACAGGACAGGAACAGAAACCATAGTATTGCCTCCCAGACCTATTGGTAAGTTGCACCTGAGCATGGCAGAGTGGGGAGATATGAGGGTAACTGTATGGTCACCTATCTTCAGTCCTGGCACTGGCAGGAATCCACAGGTGTCTGACCATGCCCCTATCTCAGAGGACAATTTCCCTCATCTCCTGTTTATCAAGGACAGTGCCTTCCATTCCTTTCTGTGTCATAACATCTGTCTCCTACAGTGCAAAGTATCCAGTGAGCTTGGTTTGGAATCACTCTGCTGGATATGGATGAATTTGTGAGGCAGCTACTACTCAATTCCAAGTCAGTGCTGTGGTATCTGTGTGGGGTCCCAAATATGTAGAGGTTTCTGACCCCAAGAGCAGTTTAAATTCAGACAATAGAACCCTTTTCAAGATGGTTCCTAGCTAGTGTCATGGAGGTTTGCCAGGAGGTGATATGAGATCTTTCCCCAAAGCGAAGTTACTGTATAGATTTCAGT